ATCTCATTGTAACATCATCTATGATAATATGAACTCATTCTTTTGATCACTTTTATTTTCTTGACAAATCTGTACTGGTGTATGCCAATTGTTCTGCTTTTGATTTTGAGATGATATGATGCATGAATAAATTGCCCTACTTTCTGAAAGTTTGCTGTTTTCTTCTAGGTATCAGGTAAAGCTATCTTTGAGGTCTTTAAAAATTTTCCATTTGTTATTAGTTTAAGATCCAGTTATTTTTGTTGCTATTACTTGTGCCTTGTTGATCTGCACTTAAGCTAGCTTAGGCATGTTCTTCCTAAATAATGTGTGAAAATGCAGAATCTGCACAGGTGTTACACATGCATAGTATGTGTTGCATTACTTGAAGGCTTTTCCTCCCCAACCCCATCTTGAATTTTATTCATGTTTGTCTCAATTTTTTGGGGATAACCTGTTCCCTATCCCACCTATTATGCGATATATATGATTTATATCACATAAAAGCTCATAAGCTGATTTGAGTTGCAAAGAATTTTGGATGTAGATTTTAAGTATTACTTTGGTTGCGGTATTACTCTCTTACAATTTTGCAGCTAATGAAACTGACTTCATGGTCTGAAAAAGGGCTAACTGTTTATGGTGGAACAGGGTCCGGCACAAGTTCTGCCACACAGGGTCCTGGTGTTGAGGTGGCCACTGATAATTTGACCCACCATCAGGCCAGGCTTCAGGCTGCTGCTGCTGCTGCATCAATATATGAAAAATCCTACGTTTATCCTTCTGCAAACACTCTAGTTTGGTAGATGGTTTTATCCTTTTAATTTTTCATATCTGTCGATGACATTTGCAGTTTCCTTATTTTGCTAGCCTTATAATCTCACCTCTTTCTCCTTGTATTTTTTTACCATGTGTCTGTTACTTTGCGTTAATTATCAATTATTGCAATCTCAAAAAATTTCTTTAAATCTGAGGACCAGAGAAAAGAAATAGGGATGTCCCATTGAGACCTAATTTCTTTTGCTTCTAGTTGTGCAAAAGTGTGTGTGCGCGTGTGAGATCATTTTTGAAGTGGCAACACTTTTCTTCTCTAATTACTTACCGACTTAATTATGAGATCTTAAATATAGATATAAAAGAAAAGGTAATCAATCACATTGAGACCTTTACATGGGTTGAGAAGTGAAATGTATAGCCTAGAGAAAAGGAGCACTTTAAACACATGCAGATAACAGAATATGTTGAATTTGTGTGCTAATTTTTTACATCTGATATGCGTTCTAATTCTTATATTAATTCACTTGTTTTTACAAGATCTGGCTGCAAGTTCAATTGGATTGGTTTGCTAATATGAAATGGCAATCCATTACAATTTTGTGCATGGTACATGCAGGTCTGCAGGAAATGCTGTACTTCCCAGGGGTTCTGCTCCATTAGGCGATCCCATGAAGGTGGAATCTAGTGTGGAAAGCACATCCATTGGACAACAACAGTTTGCCATTCCTGGTGGACAGGCAAACTTAACCTTTCCGCAATTCCCACAATATGTTTTGTTCCCATCCAGTTACCTGGTGCCAATGGAAACTCAGGAGAAGGGTCAGGGAGTAATCAGAATATTTCAGATTCCCAGCTGGAGGCTCAGAAGAAGATCATCCAGCAGCAGATTGAGGTATTATTTTTGTAATGTACTTGTACCATTCTTGCTTTCTCTATATAATTGTGTTTAAATATTTTGGAAAATATTCTCATATTTCTTGTGCCCTACCAACGAATATACAGATATTAGAAAACTTTGTATATCCATAACATTTCGGGATCAAGGCGAAAGACTTGGAGTGCATGGCTTACATGGAATGCATCATGGCATGACACTTTGATATACATCTATCATGACTAGTTTCTGGATAACGACCATTTAGTTGCAATAGGATTGAGAGCTTCATTTTTTTGTTGTTGTTTCTTCCCCTTGTATGAAGCTTCTTCTTTTATAGTCAAAATACTGTCAACATTTAACACTAAAAATTATAAATCAACTCAAACTGTTCCAATTTATCGCTTTTTTTCCCAACTTTTTTCCTCAATAGGTGTTGCAGCATCAACTCCAAATACTGCAGATGCAGAAGCCAAAAACTGAGGAAAGCTCGGACGTCAGTTTCATAGCGGCATCAGATTGTAAAGGAAAGGCTGTTGAATCTTCTTCTTCTGAGGAATGAAGCCAGCTTATCTGAATTAGTGTAGTAATCTTAACACAACACATAGAGATTATTACATGCTTCGGAATTTTACTCATAACTCAAGTGTCAGGTTACCTCTTTCCTTTTGTTTTATCTTTCTAGCTTGTCATACCAACGCTTTAACCTTTCTTTCGACATTGCATTATCCTTTTAGGACAATCATTATCGTTTATCAAATGAGTTTGAAAGGAGCTTCTAAATCAGAAAAAAAAAATAGATGCTCATTAATCTAAGTTCTGGGAATTAAAAAATTTCAACCTCTTCATTGTAATCTATTAATGTCTGTTGGGTATTGTTAGCTGGACAGGCAGACAATGTGGCTGGTCGAGGCTTTAGGTACAATTTGTTTCCGAAGCACAATGTGAAGTAGGGAGAAGAACACTCTTTTTACTACTGAGGTCATTCAATGGGTTCACGTCGACGTACATTTTAAAAATGAAGAATTTGAATGGAACATATTAATCGTACTCACATATCTCTCGAAATTAAATCCGTTGGCAACTCATCCTTAACTACCAAACCTAGACTCCTTTATTCAAGTGAAGGGCTCTTCTTCTCTTCAGTTTCATGAATGAGGGTATTTCTCTGATATGCTAATTTTACACTGATACATGCTTATTTAGTCTTAACAAAGAATGTAAAGACTGTATTCTCAAAACAATAACGACACATGAAGTGAATATTGATATATATTTCTCTTGAATATTTACATATTTCTCTGATTCTAAGTTTAAATCTATACTATATCGTTTGTATCTAATATTTTAATATCAATAATTATGTAATCGAATGAGACAGAAATGCTAATAATATATTTTATAGTAATATTTTCATACCAGTTACGACCTTTTCTGGTAATTCTTTACCGAAATACAAAACAAGGAGACGACAGACAAAGAGAAGTGGCAAATGGATTTGAGCAAGCCGGTAGAGCAATGTGGCACGATCAAATCTTTCCAGCTTTCACCGACTCTTGTAATCATTTTGTTTCTTTTTGCTGATGCGAAGATGTGGTCTCAACTGAAATGAATATGTTCCATTTGGGGCATCTAATTATCATGCATTCATTTGTGGGCGTATAAATAACATTGGAAAAGCTTACAAATAAGTGTAGAAATGAAGAAATAGGCAAATTCATGAGAGCAAAAAAGCCCTAATTTGATTGAAGAGCAGAGTCTGGCCTGAAAGCCAAGAATGACTTGCCGGCTTCCTTCATCCACAGGCAGTAGGCAGTCTTCTTGGCTTTCTTGACAGCATCTTCTTCCAGCATGTTAATCCTCTTTACTTATAAGGAATTTTCATACCGGGACGATAAGTACAATAATGCTATAATTGTGCAAGAGATTGCTCATTCCTTAGTGATTCTATTCGTAGAAAATTTGTCATTCATTTCATGGCATTGTTTGTATCAGTGATATACGTACTTGGTGGCTGCAATTGTTGGTTTGCTTTTGCATCTGACTGCAATTATCTTTTAATCAGATGACTTCCTAAATGCTGATTACCCAAATGCTTCAGTTAAAATTTTTTATTTGAGATTTGAGAATCGGCTCATGATGCTATACTATATGTTCTTGCAAGGATTAAGGACCATGAATCTCTTTCTTCAATACTGACCTTTGATTTTAATCGTCTCTTAAACAACTTGAGGCATGCCGATATCATGTCGGATGTATGTAATGAAATCAAAGCTACTGGAACTACTTAGAGCAAGTGAACTTATTCTAGTCATGAATGACCTTTGTAGGCAATCCATGCAACAAGGTGCAGTTTCATTCCCTGTGTTACTTAGACTCGAGATGCCCCTATGTTACTCGAGTCTGGATGCAGGTGTGTTCAATTTCTTTTAAAGGTTTATTCATGTATTTGAGTCGTATCTCTTCGTCCCATGTCTGAATATGTTGAACATGGGTGTTAAACACGATTCTTCGGGGGGAAATGAAAAGAAATGGTGGTCGAAGCAACATAGTTCATTCCTGCAAGAGACTGAAATGAATGAGCTTCGGCTTTCTGTTGTTTTCATTAAATACAATTGTGTCAAGATACTGAAAATTAGGTTTTTCAGATGTTGCAAATCAATTTTTTCTCATAAAATTCGGGGTTGAAACTATTTGTACTACATTTAATTAGATGACTTACAGTTACAGGATGACTGGTGCCTAGAAAGTAATTGGCATAATTGCAAGCCTACATCAACAAATTCAATCTCAAGCGTTCAAGAACAATCAGCTTTTGCAGACAGCTTGATAGGCTGTTCATATTGCAGACAGTATTCGATTCGTTTCAAAGATTTTATAATTTTAAGTGTGCTTTTCTGCCCTCTAGCTATGCTCTGATTTTATTCATAATGGTAGTTTCTGAATGAATAGAAATTGTGTTAACTGAGTCTTTTCTTTCTAAATGAAACAATGAGGTTTTGATTAAAGTTTGAAAATATTTGAAAAATAGAGAAAAATAAGGTTACTTCTAAATATTTGAATGCATGTTTTGATCCACATTAAAGCTTTAGAATGGCCCTAGGGATGAGCTCTGTTATTTATCTTCTAAAGATTGCTGGTTCATTTAATGTTTGAAGGTAATGTCTTAATGGGGTTGGAAGCTTGAATATCTCATCATCATATGTAGTTTGGTAGTAGAGGTTTGTGAGAATTGACAAGTTTTTGCTGGATTCGAATTCCTTGGAAAGAATATATGCATGTATATGTAAATATAGACATGCAGGTTCATACGCATATATCATACATGTAATCTATTGGATATATATAGACATGTAGGTTCATACGCATACATCATAAATGTAATCTATTGGATATTTAGACAGGCAGGTTCATACGCATACATCATACATGTAATCTATTGGATATATAGACATGCAGGTTCATATGCATCATGAAAATTGAGCATCTCTTCTGATATAATTGCACAGGGGAAGACAGTACATTGTATTTCATGCCTGTCTGATTTTCTTGCAGTATTTATGACCCCCCAAGTTGTCGCAATTCTTCCACAAGTCTATCCAAATCTTTCATGGAGCTGGCCCCCATGACTCACTGCTTCCCGAGCCTTCTCTTTCAGATCCTTCGCCTTCGCCTTCATTCCTCCATTCTCAGCCATCGCCTCGGCTATGGCGTGGCCTAGTTCTTCAGAGTCGGGAACTGAGTCCGCACCCGCAGACACCCTAACACCCACACCCATATCATCCACCAAGAGTATAGTGTTCACATACTGATCAGCTTCCATAGGCCAAGCCAATATCATGACTCCACCCACTATTGCTTCCGAAACCGAGTTCCACCCACAATGACTCAGGAATCCACCCACTGCTTTGTGGTTCAGTATCAATACTTGGGGTGCCCACCCTTTTATCACCAACCCCTGACCTGCAATTCGCTCCTCGAATCCATCTGGTACAACTCCATACCCTTCTTCCTGTTGTCGGGTTGTACCCGGTTTCACCACCCAGATAAAACGGGTTCCACTCTTTTCAAGGCCGTTAGCCAAGGCTTCCATTTGTTCCTTTCTCAATAGCTTCTGACTCCCAAAGCAAACATAAAGAACCGAACCATCAGGGCATCGATCGAGCCAAGTTAAGACCTGATCATTTTGTTCAGAACCAGAATTGCTCCGGCCTGATACTTCAAGGCCTGTCAAACTCAATGGTCCGATGGTGAAAACACGATTATGACCTATATGTGTCTTCAAACATTGAACATTTTCAGCTTCCAAAGCATCAAAGGAATTCAAAACACAACCCCAGCTCTTTGTATTTGCAATAGATCCATCTTTCACAAACTCCGAATCTGGATCTGATCGTTTATACAGCTTAAACAATGATGGCAAATGTTCCTGCTTGAAGATGGGGGACCGGGGGAGATGACCAAACTCAACTTCACTCAAAGACCTAACTTTTTCAACATTGTTCCAAAGATAATCAAAGATGGAGACCAGCAAAGTAGAGATAGAGAAGAAAGCAATCCTGGGGATCTGTAAGCGAGTTGCAAGGTGCTGAGTCCAACCGAGGAAGAAATCGGAGATGAGAGCAACAGGAGGATTAGAGTGAGAGTAGAACCAGTTGAGTAAAGGATCATGAAGTTTGCCTAAAGCAGCCATGATGGGGAAGTTTCCAGTGTTGCCGAGGTCTTTAACATGTTCGACACCTGGTGGGATGAGAGGGTGAGAAGGGAAAGGGAGAACGAGGGGGGTGATGGAAGAAGGGTGAGAAGAGAGGAGAGGGGAGAGGAAAGAGAGGTTTTTAGGGGTGACTAAGATGGTGATGGTTAAGCCTCGGAGAGCAAGTTGATGGGTAAGGTCCAGAAGGGCAAGCATGTGGCCTTGAGCAGGGTATGGGAACACCAAGATGTGAGGGTTGGCTCGGGTGGCCATGGTGGATGGCTTGATCGTCCACAGACGAAGAGAGAGGGTGGCTTAGGTGAAAGAAGAAAGGAGATGAACCGCTGAGTTGTTTAGTATTGACCACTGAAGGTGTAAAGCCTTTAAAAGACTAAAGACTTCATCAATGGAGTCTGTGTCGTTGGATGTGCGTGAAGGTACGACAAGAATATGTAATTAGTATGCATGTCCAAAATTTGATTTTGTTAAATATGTCCATTAATATTTTGACGTAATTACTGTCCAAAACATTATTGACTACACACTTGAACATACGTAAAACATTGGATTAAAAAAATGGCTTCCTATAGAAAAATGTCAAAAATTATATTTTTTTTCAGTTTAGGTGTTTAAATTTTTTTCTTTCGACGTAATAGATATCTAATATTTTTAATATTATTATTTTAAGTGATTGATCTAATACTGTTGTTAATTTTTTTTTTTCAAATCAATTAATCAGTATTTAAAACGTGATCTAATTTTTAATTTCCTTCTATTTGAAAAAAAATTAATTAAAAAAATTAATAATTTATTCCTTTCGGTATTTGGAAAATGTGCATTCCTTTCGTATTTAAATGAACTTTTTTTTTAACTGATAAATACTTCAGTTTTCAAATTTTTAAAAATTGTATTAATATAAAAACTCATTGAATTTTGCCCACATCTTGAGTCCAAAAGCTTCACGACCACACACATTCGACCATAATTTGAAGGAATAACTGGTTGTAGGGACAGAAAGGATAATTGAATTCTTCCCCTAAATTATATTCGTATTACTTTTATCATAATTATTACTTTTGGAACTCATTGATACCGATTACACGGCAAAACAAGATAGACATAAATTCCGAATTTAGTTACTTATTTACTTTTATAGTTCTATTTTGATTGTTTAATTATTTTTTTAAAATTAAATTTAACGTTATATTTTAATCGTTTATTGTAAAAAAAATTAACGGTAATATTAATGTGTCATCATAAAATAATTTTGTATCATTGTTAAGAATTTTTTTACATAAGTGGTTTTATTTATTCTCAACGACTAGTGAGTAAAACGAAAATAAAATGTAACTTTAAATATAATTCTACAAAATAATTAAATGATTAAAACGAAATTATATAAATAAATAGGTGATTAAATACATAGTTTATACTTTTATATATATATATAGGGCTGCAAATGAGACGAGACAGATCGCGAGCTACTCGAGATCGACTCGATCAAGGCTCGATAAATACTCGGATCGTATGGATTCGACTCGAGCTCGAGCTCGACTCGATTTCTTAACGAGCCGAAATGAGCTACTTGATATTCGACTCGAAAAGCTCGTGAGCAGCTCGAAAAAAATTTATATTTTTAAAAATTACATTATAAAAAAATTATTAAAAATATATTATTGATATTAAAAATTCTATAATACAACTATTCTCAAATTTTATTTTTTTTAATTAAGCAACCCAAGTCCAATTGTTTCATTGTATATTACTAAAAGAAAATTAAAAGCTCATTTAATTAAGCACATGTTATCCTAAACCTAAACCCTAAACCCTAAACCTTAATCTCTAAATCTCAAACCCTAAACCATAAATATTAAACCCTAAGTCCTAAAACCTAAGCCCTTAATATAATTATGTGATAGGGTTTTAAAAGAAAAATAAAAGCTCATTTAATTAAGCACATATTAGATTACACCCTAAACCTAAACCCTAAAGTTTAAACTCTAATCTTTAAACCTAAACCCCAAACCATAAACACTAAGCCCTGAGTCTTAAACCCTAAACTCTTAATCTAATTATGTGACAGGGTACTAAAAGAAAAATAAAAGCTCATTTAATTAAGCACATGTTAGATTACACCCTAAACTCTAAACTCTAAATTATAAACCCTAAACTATAAACCATAAGCCCTAAACCTTAAACACTTAATCTGATTATGTGATAGGGGTTAAGTTATGCACATGAAGGTAACATACAAATTATGCAAAATTGTTGAGTTAATCGATTGACGGAATCAGCCAAGAGGGGGTGAATTGGTAATTAAAATTTTGGTGGAAGCTTTTGCAGAAAATTGAAAATAATTGCACAGCGATTTAGAGTGGTTCAACTTTATCAACCAAAGTCTACGTCCACTACCTTAGCTATCCACACTAAGGATTTTCCAACAAATTCACTAATTTATTCTTTCTTTTGAGGTCAAAGAGATAACCTTATAATTCCCTCAAGAATATACCACAATTCTTGAGAACACTCTTTTCTCAAAGAGAATATTACAAATTTGCAAACTTACAAGAAAAACCTCACAAGGCAAATATGTTTGCACAATTCTAGAACAAAGAAAGAACACTCAAGAATAAATACAATTGAGCACAATAAGTGTTCTTGAAAGCAAAATGAATATTGAATGAAAAATAGGCTTGAAATGCTCAAACTTGAGATTTGATGTTTTCTCTTTGATTCTCTCTTGATTCTAGTTGCTTGATGTTTCTTGTTTTTTATCAATGGCTTCTAAGCTTGTTTAAATACACCTTGAATTACTTCTGAACGTTGGGGATGATTAGTGGAGTCAATAGAGCCGTTTAAGTGTGAAAACAATTAATTAATACAGTTGGGAGCGTCAGTGCATCGATGCATACCCATGGTGCATCGGTGCATCAGTGTAAAATTCAAATATTTTGACCGTTAGAACCTTAGTACATTGGTGCACTAAGAGTGCATCGATGCATCAAGTGCAATCGATGTTTCAAAATAGCCAGAGTGCATCGTTGCATGGCTGGTGCATTAAATGCATTCGATGTTCTTTATAAATTTCTCAGTGCATCGGTGCATGGTGTGCATCGATGCATGGAATGCATTCGATGTTCAATTTAATTCATGGTGCATCGATGCATGGATTGGTGCATCGGTACATCACTCTGAAAAATTGATTTTAGGCTTGATTTTGGTTCAAAATACTTTGTGAAAATTGTTTCAAAAATAGTTAAAGTACAAATCACAATTTTACACATTTAGTAAGGATTAAAATTGTTTTTGAAAGACTTGGAGTAATAGTTTGATATTCGATTAATTTGAATCGAATATACTTAGAAAAATCATTTGTAAAATCTTAAAATTCATTTAAACTTAATTTGTTATATCGAAATATCAAAATGTTTTCAACAATCTCCCCATTTTTGATATAACAAAACATTTGTGTTATTTTAAGATTTTCTAAAATTTGAAATAAGTTTTGAAAGATTACTCCCCCTTACTAACACAATTTTCCCCTTTTAAAATCATTTCAACACTTAACATTTATCCCCCTTTTTGTTAAATCAAAAAGCCTCAAAACGTTTTAAACCAAACTTATTTATATTAGGCTGTTAAGATCACAATCAAAAGAGAGTTTAGCCGTTAGTTTCATAATCAATATTCATAATCATAAATGGATAATTGGTCATAATGCTACTATGATGATGCAAAAATTAATAATCATTAAGCTCAAAAAGAAATTTCAAACCAAACTAATATATATTAAGTAAAATTCATAAAACAACCAAATCATATATCCAAACAAAGTCAAACAAGGTAAACAAAGTTTAACAATAAACGTTCAAGACGATCCTAAAACAAGATCTACTCATCCATAGAAGGATCGGGAGGAGGCGGAGGAAAACGGGCTTGCATCTCAAGCGAGAGATTATCCATGCGTGCAAGCATCTCCCGTTGAAACTCCATCTGTCGAGCTTCCAAAGTGTCTAAATGTTGATTTACTGCTTCGTGAGTAGCAGTCAAGTGTGATTCAATGGAAGCATATCGTAAATCAAATGTCTCCAAGAACGATCGAAAATATGGAGGCATTTGATCCTCTTGTGGAGCGGGTTTCGGTGCAGGCTCGTCATCGGGTACGTGATCATCTATGTCTTGCATAAGCTGTTGGAATTCAGGATCATCGTTATCAGCCGGAGCCGGAGGTGGAGGAGGAGGAGCACGAGAGGAGCTAGGAGCAGCTCGTGAGGAACTAGCTCCCGGAGTTTGCTTGTCGGGTCTAAAAACCCATTGACCGATTACATCGTCTTGTTTCCAGTCTGCTTTCTTTAAGGATGTGAGATTGATTTGATTTTGGAGTGGGATAGGATTATCGAGAGAGACGTCTAGACCAAGTTTGATAAAGAGGTTACTAAGAAGACAACCATAAATCAATGTTTCAACATGTTTTGAAGGAACAATGTTTATGATGTCCACTAGTTGACTGAAAATAATGTGGGGCAGATTTATTTTGATTTTATTTTTGATACAATACATCCACCATAAATCCCTGGCACGAAGTGTGGAGTACCTATCTCCGGATGGTCTAAACCACCAATAGATCATCAAATGGAGAAAACGATCGTGATGAGATCGTAGAGTACTAACACTTGAGTTTGGAACATAGGGATATTCCACATTTTCACTCTCATTATAAACACCACTATCATCTAACCCAAAACAGAAAGCTATAGTCTCGGGGTCAATATTAATATATTGACCTAAGAGATAGGATCTAATGGCTATAGTTCCATATTGGGTTTCATTTTGAATACACACTGCATTGGAATAGAAAATGCGGACCAATTGTTGATAGACTATGGGTTTAAGCTGAAACAGTTTATCAAACTTCCAAGTTTTAAGAATTAGAAGGTATTCGAAGTTAATGTCAACCATGGCTTGAAGCGAAGGAATACGTTCTTCACGAATTCTATAAGTTTGGAAAGAATTTCTGTACCTAGAGTACAGTTCGTCTCTACAACGCTCAGGCATGTTAAAACAAGAACCTAATAGACTAGTAGGTGGTGGAGGAACGGGATTTGGCGGTTGGTTTGAACGAGAACGACTAGACGAAGTTCTAAGACGTTTGGGATTAGACATAATTAAAGGAAACGGAATAAGGAATATTACCTGCAATTTGAAACACATGTATGCACAATCAATCCCAAAACTCAAATGAGTCCTCAATAATTCAAGGTTCTCTAAACCATATCCTAATGGGCATGTTTTGAAAACTATTAAAATATTTGATAATCATAATAATATAGTTTTCATGAAAACAAACACAATTAA